CGTGGTTCTGTCTTGCTTCCCACATAAGTTTATCAAGAAGGACAGAGCATTCCAGAGGTAGGCAAACCCCAATGCCCTGGGTCCCATAATAGTACATCACTTATCACAAATGTCTAAAGAATTTGGGGACCAGGTGGTGGTACAGCTGTAAAATATGACGCTCTCCAAGGAAATCCAATATGGAAATGGTTCCAGTTCAAGTCCAGAGTCCTCCCTGAGTATGACGGGCAAGGAGCATTTAAGATATGGGGCCGAGGGACCAGCAGTTAGCGTAATAGCTATGTTGCTGAACTCCCATGTAGCCGACTGCAGCTCAAGCTCCGGACCCGGTGGCTTACTCACACCAGGCACGTGTGTATGTGTGCCAAAGATCACGAGAGGAGAGTGGAGGAGAAGGGACTGCGGTGTGGCCATCCCCCCTCAGGGGTGATTCCTCGCCTTCTGTCTCTTTGTCTGTCTCTGTCTTTCCGACGAGTGCACACACTTTATAGCAAAAACCTCTACAAAAAAAAAAAAAAGATATGGGACCGACTGAGTGCTGGGGTTGGACCCAGCAATAGGAGCCTGTTGGAGGTGCTTTTTCTTTTTCATTCATTCGCTTGTGGAAGAATGAATGAATAAATAAATAAATGTATGTATGCATGCAATTATACAGAGATTTTTGCTGTAGGGTACATGTGCTCACCAGAGAGAGACACAGAGAGACATAAAGTGAGAAATCACCCCCCTGGCATGGGATGGCCATGCCAGAATCCCTTCTCCTCCATTTTCCTCTCAGGATCTTCAACATCCACGTACATGTGCCCGGTGTGAGTTTGACGCCTGCAGGTCCAGGATTTGAACTACAACATGGGAGTTCAGCGACGTAACCATTACGCTGTTGCAGGTCCCTCATGGAAAAAATTCATTAATTAATTTTTTAGAAAGTAACTGTGTACAGGGCTGGCAAATGGTGTGGTGGTTAAAGCAATGGACTTCCGCATGGCCAGCCGTGGTATGAGTCTCAGACCTAGTGGCTTGTTTTCTCGCTACCCCTCTCTCTCTGTCTTTCTCTGGTGAATGCACATGCCCTGTAGCAAATTAGATAATAACGATAAGTAAAATAAATAATTCTTTAAAAAAATGAAAAAGAGTGACCAGCAGGTAGCTTGGTGGTTAAGACACTGGTCACTCCCACATGGCTGACCACGGTTCGAATCTCAGACCTAGTGGCTTGTTTTCTCGCTACCCCTCTCTCTCTGTCTTTCTCTGGTGAATGCACATGCCCTGTAGCAAATTAGATAATAACGATAAATAAAATAAATCATTTTTTTTAATGAAAAAGAACTGTGTTGATAGTTTTGTTCCCAGGTAACCTGATTACAGGAAGAAAACATACTGACTGCAGTGGCACTAGTGTTGAGGTTTGTGGGATGGTTGAGAACTTTTTCTCTCTTCAAGAACGGGTGTCCAGGCATTAGTTGTGATTCTCAAACTCAGTTCAATGTGAGTCCAACCCTGAAGCTTGAGCCTACACTTACCAAAATGATCCACCAAGGACTGAATGTGAAAGGCTGACACACAGACCACAGACTACGGCCTTCTCAGGGGTAAGAGACGCGCTGCGGTAAGGCATCCAGGTACGTGCCTGCCAGGCTCCAGGTGATAGACACAGGCTTCTCATCTCAGAAACTTCTATACCAAAAGTCTATATGACCTCTCCTAGGGTGGATGGTCTCAAGTTCCTTTTAGCTATTCCATGAGCTAATAGCACTAAATTAACTTTCTTCATTTTCCAAGAGAAAATGTAAATGTTTCCAGTGCATTCAACATCGAACAGTAAGTCAAATGGTTCATATTTTCTCCAAATGAGAAACAAAAGATGTTTGCTTTTTATGGTGACAACATGGAAACAAAATTCATTCTTGTCTCATGGACTCCAGAAATTAACTTGAGGTTCTCCAAAGAAAAACTACAGGAAAGTAACTGATGCGAGAAAATGAAAGGACCCGGGGGGGAAATCTCAAGAATGCTCAGCAGGGAGGGTAGAAGACACCATCTCAACACTGCAGAACAGATGGGAACCACCACACATGACTGGGAGAAGCAAACATTCATTTCCATGCTGGCGTGAGAGGCTGGAGACCTTGGTAATTTTAGCAGTCAGCTCTGAGAACAGGCACTTCAGCAAGGTAAGCTATGCCGCTGCTGATGGAAAACGACAGCTTAACCACATCCCAATTTTCCAACAATATTCCACAGGGAAGACTAATTTTGGCCACTTGGTTTCTATTAGCTATTTCACTCAATACTTAAAAGTACATATGCAAAAGATTAGAGGACTCACTCCCACACACTTTCCTAAGAAAGGCAGTGAGAATAGAGAAGGGTACTCACAAGAGATTAAAATAAAAAATTAAAGTCTACATTGGAAAGGCTGGCCCCTAAAATACACTCATTTGATACATGCACATTTTCTCATTAAATAAAGATGCTTACAGGTCCCATTCCAACAACTACACTGAGGGGCAAATCTATGCCAATAATTCAGTAGCTACAGTATTTCTTTGGAACAGCCCTGCTACTCAAATTATTGTGAAGAATCTATTGGGTCATCGGAAAAGTCATGATGTGTTTTCCTATGCAAAAAATGTGTCCTGACTTTTCCAACGACCCACTATGACAAAGTTCAGAAACAACACATGGCACTAGTCCAACAGGCCATGGTATCTTTTACACTTACACAATCCTTCCTACCACCAAGGTTCATTCAACAAACTTTTTAAATTCACTTCCTACCATCTTGGACTTCATTAGCTCTTCAGAAGCTGCTACTTCTTAGCGACCTCTTCATCTGGTTATACATGAGGGTACTTCAAAAGTTCATGGAAAAATGGAAGGAAAGTACAAATTCAAGCCACCCAGCAGGTGGCATGGTACTCAAGGAGCCTGGTTCCCACGTGGCTGACCCCTCGCTTCAAGTCCCAGACCCAGCAACTTGAGAAACACATAAGAAACATGCGTGCACATGCCCAAAATCCCAAGGAGAGAAAGGAGGAGAAGGGACTATGGCATGGCCATCCCCACTGAGGGGTGATTTCTCACTTCTCTCTATCTTTCTCTTTGCAGCAAGTACCCATGCTCTATGGTGAAAAATCTAAAATAAAATCTTTTTGAAAGTACAAATTCATGTTGGTGCAAAACACTTTTGAAACCATGCATAATTTTTTTCATAATATGCATCGTCTATGAGCTTTCTTAAGACTCTCCCCCACCCCACACATTGACACTAGAATTTAAAACACTGCCTTCAGTTATGGGGCGTAACAACACTAATGACACCAACTTGTGTTAATTTTAAACTTTATTCCATATCACTTTATCTTTCTCTAATTCTCAAGGGAGTCTAGATTAAAACTGGCACTCCTCTGCATTTTCCAGTCTCTAAGATGAACAACACGAAACAATTGTCCTCCAACTAAGTTTAATTTCTCTTTCTCCAGTTTGCCAAAAATGCCACAGGCAAGCAATCAAAACAGCTAAGTATTTACTTGAGATTTTGCCAAGAAAATTCCCCCACTTCCTTGATCACACAATTTCTCTTTAAAAAAAATTCTCTCCCATGTGAAAACAAAAGTGAATAGAACCATATTTTTGCCTTTTCCAAAAGCCTAGTTTATATGAATATTGGGCCTACACATTGCTTCTTTCTGCCAATCACGAGGAATCTTTGCACTGGCTAGAGCTGAGACCTCACAAGAAGATAACATTTAAAGCAATGTTCGGGCAGTAGTAACACAGGCCCCAAAGGGATTGTTCTAAATTTTTTAACGGATTAAACTATGGAATATATCCAAGCAGAAAAAAATAAAAGGAAATGAAAATACAATTACAGCTACTGTCAGTGCACCTGTGAAAACCAACACTACAAGTTTTAGCCAGTAGAACTGGGGTTTTGAATTTTACATAAGGTTCCCTAGAACCTGGCAAGTTACTTAACATATCTCAACCTTCATTTCCTCAACTATGAAATAACTAACACCAGTATATTTCAGAAGACTAAGATGATTAAACCGCCAGCATGGGTTGAATATAAAAGGTAAGCTGTATGATAATCGAAAACAAGAAGGCCTTGAATGAATGTCTCACAAAAAATGTAATCACAGGAACCAGCAGTTGGTGTAATGGCTATGTCGCTGGAATCCCATGTAGTCGACCACGGTTCGAGTCCTGGACCTGGTGGCTTAAACTCATGCCGGGCACGTGTACATGCATGACCAAGATCCCGAGAGGAGAATGGAGGAGAAGGGATTGTGGCATGGCCATCCTCCCTGGAGGGGGGGGGGTGATTTCCTGCTCTGTCTCTCTCTGTCTTTTTGGTGAGTGCATGCAACTATTGGCAAAAAAAAAAAAAAAAATCTCCAAAAAAGAAAAGTAACTACATATTAAAATACTACCAACTATAGGCCCTTTTCATTTAACATTTTACCACATATAATTCACTGTCTATCAAATTCTCATAATATCTCATAATGTTCCTTTAGTCAGTAATTTCCATCTAAGTATCTTTCTATGTGAAGCCATCTTCAACCTACTAATCTCTCCATTCTCTAATTTCCCAACCCTCTGCAAGTTAAATACTTTTGTATTGCTATAACACTTTGCTCACATAATTATGATATGTTTTACGGCACAATGAGAGGAGTGTCTGATGCCTCAATACTTGCCAGAGAATTGACTTCTGAAATAGGAATCTTTCTGTATCTTCACATATCTGGTATGTGCCAGTAAGTGTGATAAAATAGGCAAGAATGAATGTCTGCAAGTAAATAAGCAGACTTCAATAAGTTTGTGGAAAAGGTGGAATGAATGCGTGAGTTTATTTTGCTGTCAAAAGAAATAGAAATCTTGGGACCAGCAGTTGGCGTAATGGCTATGTCGCTGGACTCCCATGTAGTCAACCACGGTTCAAGTCCTGGACCTGGTGGCTTAAACTCAGGCCGGGAGCGTGTGCGTGCGTGCCCGAGATCCTGAGAGGAGAATGGAGGAGAAGGGATTGGGGCGCGACCATCCCCCCCGGGGGGTGATTTCTCACTTTCTATCTCTCTGTCTCTCTCTTTCTGGCGAGTGCACGCGCCCTATAGCAAAAAAACTCTCAAAAAAAAAAATAGAAATCCATGCATTTTTCCATAATGACCTTTCTGAAGACCCCTCATATTGCCCCTTTTCAGACCTTCCAAAAGAAGAGGGTAAAAAAAATTTCTCAGGGGATTTTTATTTTTAACACAGATTACAGCAATATTTATATTTTTCACAAAGAAATTTTTAGTTTATACACACTATTTACCACAAAATGGTTTCAATGCACTCCCACATAATACTTACTAACTGGGACAATGAAATCTCCATGCAGCTCATAGGTCATGAGAGGTTCCGGAAGACTTCTGTATGAAAAGAACAGCTCAGAATTACCAAACAAATCCCAACAGGTCACTTCTGAGTTTATTTTTTATAAAAAAGATGTTAAATATATTGTGCATATCTTGGATAATGTGTAAAACTTCCTTAGGGAAGACCTTTGCATATCAAGAAGATACATCAATCAAATCCATCACTTTACTAACGGCTATTTGCACCAGGTACTATCAAAGCTTAAGCAGCCATGACTTCCTATCAGATCTCAGCATACTGCAATACGATGTAATCTTGGAAAGTACCTTTAGGAACATCTGGTTTTATATATAAAACTTCCTTTTCTATATTAATAGTATTTAAGGTTAAACATGCTTACATTCAAACCAAATGTAAGCATGTAACTTTGAAACTTTTATTTCTAGGATGTTAATTGAAGATGTCACAAAAAAAAAAAAAGGAAAAAAATTAAAGAAACTTTCAGAAATTTTATCCTCCCCTCTTAAATATCTTTAGTATAAAAATAAAAACATTTTCTCTATGCATATGAAGGAGATATGAAATTAAACTGATGGCTTTTTAGATTGTGATGATAAAACAATAGAGATAAAATTAAATTGATAACTTAAAAAATATGCCCAGAAATTTAGTTTCCTACAAAGTACCTAAGTGGTAACATATTTTATTCTGTAATCAATATAATACTAGAGTTCAGTCAACCTTGCTACATGTCTTAATGTCTTAAATGTTAAAAGATCAGATGTCCTAACTTTGTAGACACTTACAGAACACTCAAATATCAATCTGTACAATCTTTCTGGAGGCCAATCTGCAAGAGCTTTTAAAAGGTTAAAATCCTGTAACCCAGAATTCCCTCTTCAAAAGTTAAAAAAAAAAAAATCACATACACACAAAAAAATTTAAGGCATATGGAAATGCCAAGAGTATTGCCAGGGACAAAAATGACCATTTCAATTTAACAAAAGAGTAAACTCATCAAGAATACATGACAGCCAGAAAAATGCTTGCACATCTATGTTTATTGCAGCATTATTCACAACTGGTAAGACATGGAACTAACTCAAATGTCAATGAACAGATGAATGGATTGAAAAAGTGTGGCACATATACTCTATAGAATACTACTCAAACATAAAAAACAAGACCTTGATATTCAATTAAAAGTGGAAAAATATGGAAAATTTGCTGCCAAGTGAAGCAAGTCAGGCTATGAAAGACACTGTATGTCTCCACTTAACATATACTGACTGTTCACCCTCTACGGTGGAAACTGAGAAACTGGAGGGCAACAAAGCACTGAAAATGCTTATAGATTCTGGAGACAATATGGGAGGAGGGTGGGAGAAGGAGGAGAGAAAATTAAGGAAGAAAATTAAGAAGGAACATAGAGAAGGCAGAACATTTATGGGACACAGAAGTGGGTTATTATCTGTTGATGATAATGTGTTTTGTATTCTCAACTAGACTGGTGTAAAGTATATTCATGTTGGGTAAATTCAACTTACAAACAGTAATACATAGTGAATAAATGTATAAAATAAAAATAATAAAGAACACATGACAGCACTAAATGTCAATGGATCTAATAAGAGGTTCAAAATACATAGACTAAAACCTGATATAATTCCAAAAAGAAACAGACAAATCCACATCTAGAGTCAGATGTTTCAACAGCATTCTGCCCCAGTCATTACTAGGAAAAGTAGACAGAAAATCAGTTAGGATTCAGATTTGAACAAAACTATCAACCAACTTCACCTAAATGGCATGTCCTTAACCTAAATGACGGTCCACCTACTGAGAGAACACACATCCCCAATGCAAACGGCCATCTATTTTCCAAAATAAAACATGTTCTGGGCTATGAAACAAATCTCGAAAAATTTAAAAAGACATCAAGTCATATAGAATGTGTTCTCTAATTCCAAAAAAATTAAATTAAAAATCTGTAACAGGGGCTGGCAGGTTGTGTAGTTGTTGAGGCACTGAACTCCCACATGGCCAACCACAGTTCAAGTCTTGGACCCGGTGGCTAGAAACTCATGCCAAGCACGTTTGCATGCATGCCCAAAATCCTCATTAGATAATGGGGGAGAAGGGAATGTGGCATGGTCATCCTCCTGGAGGGCGATATCTATCTATCTATTTATCTATTTATCTCTCTCTCTCTCTCTCTCTACTGAGTGCTTGCACCCTATGGTAAAAACCTTAAAAAAAAAATCAGTAACAGGGCTGGCCCCCAAGCATAGAGTGTAGTGGTTAAGTCCTGTTTGTAGGGAGTCAGATTCCACATGGCTAACTGCAGTTCAAATCCCAGCCCCAGGGACTTGAAAAACACACCATGTGGTTCAAGTCCCAGTCCCAGCGACTTGAAAAACATGCCTTGTTGGTGTGCATGCATGCTCAAAATTCTGACAGGATGAAAAAATGAAGTAAAGGGGTTATGGTATAACCATATATCAATGGGGAGAACTTCTTACCCTCGCTCTCTGGTTAGCACACATGTCTTCTGGCAATTAAAATCTATAAGAAAAGATTATCTGAAAACTCCCTCTCCCCAACAAAAAAAGGGGAATTAGAAAATATTCTGAACTGAATGAATGAAAACACACATCAGAATTTGAGGGATGCTGGTAAAGGAGTATTCTGAAGGAGATTCGTACCGCTAAACACTTACAATATTGGACCATCAGCAAAGTAATGACACATTTTTGCATTAAAAACATGTCATGACTTTCCTAATGACAGAGTAGAAAAGAAGAAAGGTCTTAAACCAATGACTTCACTTTCTGTCTTAAAGAGCTAGGGGGGAAAGGAGTAAATTAAACTCGAAGTAACGGAAGACTAGAAATTATAAAGATCAAGGCAGAAATCAATGAAACAGAAAACAGAAAGACAACAAGAAATTAATCCAAAACCAGTTCTTGGAGATGATCAATAAAATTGATAAATCTAGTCAGAATGATTATGTCAGGACTAAGAAAGTTCACGGCAGAATCACAACAGGTTCTAAAGATAGTAATAAGAAAATAAGGGAATATTTTATGAACAATTTTATACTGATAAATGCAACAATTTAAATGAAATAAGCAAACGCCTTGAAATACAAACTACCAAAGCTCTCTTCCAGAAAAAGGGGAGTATTGTCTAACTCCTCTTGTAAGGAAAGCATTTCCCTAATACTTAAAATTAAAGGTATTGGGGCCAGCGGGTGGCATGGTGTTGAGGGCACTGGACTCCCACAAGGCTGACTGTGGTCTGAGTCCCAGCAGCTCATTTTCTCTCTCTCTTTCTCTGTCTGTCTCTATTACTCTGTCACTCTTTGGTCAAATTAAAATAAATAAATAGATACACAGGTAGATAAATTTTAAAAAAATAAAATAATTCTTAAAAAAAATTAAAGGTATTAACAACAACAACAAAAAAAAAAAACTACAGACCAACATTGCTCATAAATATATGCAGGGCTTCAAAAACTTCAAGGCAAATGCCTATTATGAAAATGATATATCTTGGGACCAGCAGTTAGCATAATGGCTATGTTGCTGGACTACCATGTAGTCGACCACGCTTTGCGTCCTGGACCCGGTGGCTTAAAACTCACACCGGGCGTGTTTGTGTGCGCGTGCCCAAGATCCCGAGAGGAGAATGGAGCAGAAGGGATTGCAGCGTGGCCATCCCCCCTGGGGGGTGATTTCTCGCTTTCTGTCTCTGTCTCTCTCTGTCTGTCTGGCGAGCACATGTGCCCTATCGCAAAAACCTCTCCAAAAAAAAAAATGCTATATCTAGATTTCAGAAAGTATTTGCACCAAAATAAATTCATATTTTAATTTCAGTTTCGGTGAACTTTTTGAACTTGTACCTAACACAAAGAATTTTCAAAACACAATAAGACAATTTATTTTTCTATAAGTTGGGCAAAAGCATGGACAGACACACATAAGAACACTTATATTGATGGCAAATAGGCACATAAAAACTTCTTGACATCAGTAATCATTAGGAAAGTTCAAATTAAAAATAAAATCAGCTCCCACTATACACCTACTAAGAATGGCTCAAATTAAAGACTGAGCACATCAAGAGTCGACAAGGATGTAGAGAAAGTAGAATTGTTGTCCACTATCAACAGGAATGTAAAGTACATTTAATTTTGGCGAAAAGTTTGTTAGTTTCCCCAATGGTTAAGCATATACCTATCACATAATCCAGATATTCCACTCCAAGGATTTATCCAAGATAAATGAAAACAGAGGCCTATTAAAAAATTGTGTACACAAGTATTCTTAGCCACTTGATGATCAATAGCCAAAAGCTACAAATAACACAAGTGCTCATCACTAGGTGAATGGATTTAAAATCACAGGGTATCCATACACTAGATCAACAGCAGTAAGAAGGAATGAAATACGGACTGTTACATGCTACAACATAAGTAGATCTCAAACTAATTACGCTGAGTAAAAAGAAATCCACACGGTATGGTTTCATTTATATGACCTTACAGGAATGCAAAAGAATGTATGATGACAGAAAGCAGATCAGTGGTTACCTGCGGATGAGGCTGTGAGAAGGAACGAAGGTGAGGGAAGGATTTCAAAGGGCAGAAGGAAACTTCTGAGGGTGGTGGATAGGTTCGCTATCCTGATTACTGTGAGGGCTTCACAGGGGTACACATACATCAAATTTATCAAAATGCACACTGTAAGCATGTGCAGCTTAATATATGTCAGACCTCAACAAGCTGTTCAGAAATCAAATAAAAATAGGTGTCAAAATATATTTACATGTATGTTCCTTACATATAGTTTACAGTGCTACAGTCTACACACATTCACACACAAAATGGCAGCTGTAGACAGACTAAAACTTGAGTACAAATAAAGAAAAGCTGCTGGCCTTTCATTTCCTCTCTCTCCTCTCCTTCTCTCGCATCCCATTTAAAGAAACAGAAAGAAAAAAAAATTACACCAAAGCCTAAAAAAGAACAATGAGGGCCAATCGTATCTAAACCTTTGGAAATTTTGTTTCAAAGTATGGGCAAACAGGCACAGCTATGATAGTGTGGTAGTTACACAATGCTCTCCAAGGCTGGAAGCCATAAGGAAGACTAGGGTTCAGTTCCCAGGAAGACCTGTACACACTGGGTGTGAGAGCACCATGGCCATCCTGGCTGACAGGGAAGGGTGGGAGAAGGATCATGGTGCTTGTCTGTCTGTCTGTCTGTCTGTCTTTCTCCACCTCTTTCTCCACTTCATGAAAGAAAGAAACTTAAAAGCACGTACAGAGACACACTAGAAGCAGCAAAGAAGGAATCTGGCAGAGACGGGAAAGTTAGAGGGTACAGAAAAGAAAATAGGGGAAAATGAAAACATTTGGAAAACCCATAAGAGCATTTCCTTTCCAATAAAAATGAATTTGTATCTAAATATCTTCTACAAGCAACTTACATCATTGCCATATGTCTAGCGAAGCAATGCAGCATAAAAAATAAATATTGTTAATGTTAGGGAAACAGTAATAAAGATGACAAGTTCCCCATAGAAAATTTATCACGCTGAGTCACTGCATCCCTCCGCCTCCCACCGGCCTGGTTTCTGAGACGCCTCTCTCTGCCACCCATTGGGATCTGTTGAAGGATATAAATCATAATATTTACCCAAATTGGCATTCCCTCCCCCCAAAAAATCCCATTCTAATCTCCAGGCTTAAAAGAAGTTACCTCCAGGTAAAATCCTTTCACTAGAAACATCACAATGCAACTCACTTGCCCCTCAAAATAGGAAACTGCTGTAATGAACGCATTGCTAGCTATCAAACTCATGGTCTGCCCAGATAAGAAATCATCCCGAGGGCTGCTACTGAGCCTTCGAAAGTCAGTAAGTCAGTAAGAAGAAGAGTGAGCTGACACACATGGATCCATTGCACATCTTCCTTTCTTCTCCAAGACCCTGGAGGCTGTGCTTTTCATCTTAGTTTGGAGCTTTGAGGGTTTGGCTGTTTCCCTCCCTCTACCTCCAACCTCCCATCCAATACAACAGTTAGGTTATTTGCAGTGGGAAGAATTCAAGGGCAAGAGCTTTTTTGGGGGAGAAAAGCTATATTCGGCTTCACACCATGGTGCCGTGAGTGACAGCGCTGGGGACTCCAACCCTGCCAGGCTGGCTGGCTCTAGCCCACTGCTCCTGACCATTACACCGCGTTGGTTACAGCTTGCACCAAAAGAAGGACACTCGATTGGGCCATAACCACATAGCCCAAATAGGAGGAGATAAAAACTATTTCCTCCTCTCTGGTGCATCACCATAAGAAGTGTCAATTAAATCCTAATTCCTGCATTTTCTCAGTAGCCAAAAATAACATAGGGGGAAAGAACAGCAACCTAACTTTCAAATCTTCCAAGGCATCTGCCATCTTATGATAATCACTTCATCACATGCAGGCAGAATGTGTATATTGTTAGGAGCGAAGTTATGTAATAACAGCATTTCATAATGCCGTTTGCTGGAAAGTCAAATTCAATAGGATGAAGCAGCGTCATGAGAGAAAAAGTCAGGAAAAGCTGCCCAAGACCAGGGGCAGGAAGGAATGAGCTTCAAAGAAGATCAAGATCCAAAAAAGAAGTTGCAGATACAGAATAAAAAGATCTTCCACTTTACTAAATTAATTGTTCCAACAACAGAAGGAAAAAAACTATGGGGCGGGAGAAAAAAAAGCAAGCAATTTGCTACCAAAAAATTTGATCTTTACCTTTGGTTCCTGACCAATAGCTGAGTCATCTTGGTCAACCCTTTAACTGTACTAAGTATAAGTTTAAAGAGTAAAATGGATTAAAGCTACCTCCCAGAATAGCAGTAGCAGCCTCCTCCAGCAATCTTGACAATCAATAATATCTCCAGATAGTGCCAAATATCCCGGGGAGCAAGGGGTCATCCCGATGAGGAAGACTGCTCTAACATGTGAGGGGCAGGTCCAGCTAGCTCCAGCTGCTGGGGCTGCTGCAAAGCAGGGACGTCGAAGGTGCCTAACTGCAAGGAGCTTAAACTCTAACTCCAGAATGAGGACTAGAGAGAGGCACCTTTGCTATAACCCTCATCAAAACCACAGTCATTCATAATTAGTAGCAATCTAAATGTACAAACATAGGGCCGCCCCACAGCATAGTGGTTAAGCACCATGTGGGGGGAGTAAGATTTGATGAGGCCAATTGTGATTCAGATCCTGAGCTGGTGGCCTGAAAAACATGCCAGGCATATATATGTGCATGCCCCAAATCCTGACAGGATGGAGAAATGAAGGAAAAATGATTGCAAGTATGACCACGCCCCACTGGAGGGCACTTTCCTGTCACCCTCTCTAGCAAGTGCACACACTATCTGGCAGTGAACCACGCATGTGTGTGCACGTGAACCTACCTTAATTGTATCTCTTTATTGACAAGGAATGACAATAATGTACTTATGAGTTTGTTTTTTAATTAAAATAGTAACTAAAAGCATCTTTAAAGTACTCCAAGATAGGTAATAGACAACTGAATCCACTGATAAATTTCATTATCATTAAAAAACGGGATAACCCAACAACATCGGCTACCTAATGTAATACAATAGGAAGAACATAATACCACCATGATGTATTCTTGAAATTAATTAATTAAGACTTAGCCTGGCTCTAACAAAGCCTATTCAGCTAGCTATTAGTTTTCTGAGATATGATATCTAGCAAAATAATCAGCCATGTCAAAAATGTACAAAATTCGACTTAAAAGGGCCAACAGGTGGTATGGTGGTTAGGGCACTGGACTCCCACATGGTTGACCATGGTTCGAGTCTTCAACCTGGTGGCTTGTTCTGGTCAAATAAATAATAATAATAAATAAAATTAAATAATTTTTTTAAAAAAAGAGAAAATTCTATTAAAAAAAAAATTACTAAGATTTGTCAACAAACAAGTACCAGTGGTAGAGAAAGGAAGAAACTATTCATATCAAGAGAGACTTAAGGGTCCCCCTGGTGGCAGTGGTAATACAATGCTCTGGATGCTAAACCTGCGCAGGAAGGACCAGGTTCACTGAGGTCTCCCTCTGCACGTTGGGCATGCACGACCCCACAATGTGGGCTGGCTGGGCAGGAGGTAGGTGGGTGGAGAGTATAACAGCACTTTGGGCCACTCCTGAGGTCCTGTCTCCTTGTGTGTCTCTATCAAGTAACATATAAATAAACCTTAAAGAGAGAGACTTAGAACATATCAACCAAATGAAATGTTGGCACTGTTTAAATCTTGTAGGATTTAATCCAAATAGAAAAATAATTTTTGCAGGAGAAAAAAGTCAATGACAAACACGGACTGAGTACTAGATAATATTAATTTTGTTGGGTATAATGATTGTATTATGATTGTGGTTTAGTATTTTGGTGTTTTTTTTTTTCAATTTTTGTTACAGGGGACATGCACTTACTGAAGGGACAGACAGACAGACAGTGAGAGAAATCACTCCTAGGCGGATGGCCATGCTGTAACCCCTTCTCCTCCATTCTCCTCTCGGGGTATTGGGGAAGCATGCACATGCGCCTGCTGTGAGTTTTAAGCTTCCAGGTCAAGGACTTGAACCACAGTCAACTACACCGGAGTTGAACAACAATCTGCTGGTCCCCCTGACAGTGGTTTTTAAGAAGTCTTTATCTGAGGCAGCCGGTTGCATGATGGCTAAAGCAACTGAATCCCGCATGGTTGACTGTGCGGTTCAAGTTCCAGTCCTGGCAGTTTGAAAACCATGCCAGGCACAGGTGAATATGTGGCCAAAATCCTGAAAGGAGAGGTGAGGGAAGGAGAAGGGATTGTGGCATGACCGTCCGCCATGGGATGTGCTTTCTCATGTGCCCTCTCCCTCTCTCTCCAGTGAGTGCTCAAGTCCTCTGGCAAATTAGAATAAATAAATGGAAAACTTAAGTTTTAATCTAAAGACTTCATCAAGTAAACTTTTCAAATAGCTTTGTATTTATGTGCTATCATAAGCCTTGAAGCTCAAACTGTTTAAACTAAAAAAAAAAAAAAAAAAAAAACAACTTAATATTGGCCCGAAACATGAATAATTCAATGAATTCAATAGTAGCCTTCATCCTCACTGCTGCCTACAGCAGAATCCCTACAAGTCATATCTACAACAGACATCTATGTCAAAGCCCAGTCAATGCTAGTTTCTGTTGTTGCAACTTCCTTAACGATTGACGTTCCTCTGCCACTTACCTCACTCTCCTGAGCATAATGTCCTCTCAGTCAGGTGTAGTACTTACACTCTTGCACAGCCACTGTCTATTTGATGCTACACAGCCCGGCAGCGGACTCTCCCTCTTTGAGGTAAGAGAAGCTTACCTCAAATACTGTTTCAGGGCACTTGTGATTGTCTTCACTTCCCAATCGATGGAATTCTCCAGGTCCACCTCATTGCATGTTTTCACATCTAGTGAGCAAGCAAGCAAGGGAAAGAAAATCATAAAAATGCTGAGCGCTCAAAGGCTTTCTCAAATAGTTCACAAAGCTTCCATTTAGAAATAGCCAAACCACAAAAAAATTAATCCTGTCGTTTCCTACAAAAACATTGTACACCGTTTCTTTAAAACACTGCTAACCATGTTCTACTACCAGATATTTCTAGCAACCTGGAAAAATTGATAGTACAGATCAAAGCAAAAGGCTAAGGGCTGGGCTGAGAACAAGGAAGAATTAGACGTAGAGTAGCCTTTCAACATCCATCACTGGGATTCATGTACACCCAGTACCATCATCACAAAAGACGTTACTCGGTGGCCGCGGCCTAGAGCACGTGCCCTTGTTGGTTGTGTGCACAGAGTTTAATTTGTGTCACGCGACATTACTGCTGCCACCCTGCCTCACAACAGGAAAACCATACAGCGGCATTAGCAAAATGACCATGGCAACAGTAGCAAGACTGAGGACAAAGGGTAAACATGGTCTCACACTTCCAAGATGGCTTCAAGAATGCTATCTTTCTGAAGAGTAAAACATGATCAACCGAGACAGAAATATGACTACACATGAATTTTACAATTCATTTATGGCTAACCTGTCACATTAACATGACGATGTTGTCCAGAAAAATATTCACTGGAAACTTCTGTGTAAGACTTCTCACATTTATTCCAAATTAAAGTCATTTCTTTTTTCCTAAAAGTGTGCTACGGATGTGCTTTTTTCCCAATGCTCTTTAGAAGTTATTATGAAAAGTCTTCAAAAAATTCGTGGAAAATGTACATGATAAAAACACTATGCACAGATTTTTTTTTTTAATTTTTGCACCAAAATAAACGTACACTTTAATTCAACTTCTCTACAAACTTTTTGAAGTCCCTTTATACTAAAGAAGAAGCATGCAGTTCCTCAAAAAACAAACAACTGGCCAGCCATGTGACATGGTGGTTAGGACTGGATTCCACATGAACGACAGTGCAGTTCAAATATGGGACCCAGGGGCTGAAAACAAGCAAGGCATGTGTGTGTGTGTGCCCAAAATCCCAAGAGGAAAATGGAAGAAAAGGGATCACGCCATGGTCATCTCCTGGGTTGGGGTTGGTAGGGGGGATTTCTCACTTTCACTCTCTCTGTGTCTCTCTGCCTCTCTCTTGAGAGCATGCTTGCCCTATTATAAAATTAAAAAAAAAAAATGAAAACAACAACGAAAATGGAAGTGGGAAAGTCAGTAAATGAGAAAGAGAAAAAAGTCAATTCCAGTTGAAATGAAAAGAAGGTAGAAAAAAAAAATAAGGTAGGAAAGACAAACACTCAAGGGTGTGGCAGCGTCTCGATCTCTGTAACTCTGTAAGTGCGCTCAGCACTGCTATCACAGACCAGGCCTGAAATGCCTGTGTCAACCCAGACCAGCCAGGCTGCTCCACACCACCCCCCAAAATGGCTAAAAATGGGTCACGACTAATGGTATTGAGCCATCAACATCAGGTTACCTGTTTTCTACTCTCCTGTCAAGAAGGAGAAAATAAGAGACTCGTGGAAGAAACTATTTCTCCCTCACTCGAGAATGTCTCAACTAAAAAAAAAAAATGTTGTTCTGGGAATTGTTTTGTTTATCCTAACCCTGTATTTGTCTACAGAAGAAGGGAAACATCTTGTTGTTATTTCTTTTTTAAAAGCACTAAGAAGAAAAATCTGCCAAGATGGCGCTACAACATCAGGTCATGTACGCCCTTGGAAAAGTTTTAGGTGGGGTATGATGAAGAATGACAACTCAATGTCGGCCTCAAACTTTTTGAAAATAGAATAAAACAGGAAGTAATGGTTATTTCACAGCCATAACATCATACATATGAAGTCAATTACTCAAAGATCTGCAGACTTTTTAAAGCACTTCAACATTTCTTGATTACGGCAACTGACAGCAATATGCAATAAACTACAACAATGGCAACTGACACTGATTACATTTTGATCAGTTCCTATAATTCAGAACTCATTTGTTACTGAGCTTGTCAGACAAGCCACAGATACATTCAAGAAATCAAATTAAGCACCCTGATTAAAGGTGCAATCCTTTATAACTAGGACTAAATAATTCTGTTCTAAAGGCTTTGCCAACCAATTACTTCTGTAACTGCATATTCTCTCTCTCATTAAATCAATTATTTAAATTTCATTTTACATACAAGTCAGATAACATTTTCAATCAACTTGCTATCAGCAAATCACCATTTTAGAATCTAAGAGGCCTCTAAAGGAAATCTTTTATTTCCAGCTTTCTACCAAAATTATCATTCTATATTGTGAGACTCATATCCTTTTTATGGAAAAATAAGCCATCCTTCTGAATTCATAAAATAAAAAGTAGCTATCACATCAGAAGCTAATGACTATATGGTGTCTACCTTACTAGTCCTCTATAAAATTCTCAGTGTTTTCAAATAACTCAGTCATCCTTAGCAGTCCTTTACAATCAGTGGATGCACTGGGACTAGGTATGACTTTCTAATAACTTATTTGGGATTCAAGCATAAAAATACACTGGGGGGGGGGTTCATTCAGAATATTTATATGTTCTACTATAAATAGGGTTAAAATTGTGCTTCCTTTCTGATCAATAACAGTTTCATAGATTAGTGAAGATTCTAAACCAACAAGCACAACTATAGAGTTGACTTTATGCTTCAGACTTACATAACCACTGTTAATTTTGCTAAAACTGGAAATTTGCAACTCAACCTCTATGCAAAGTACCATGTTAGCACCCTACTCACACACTGACTTGGGTCCAATTTTAAAGTACTTTTAAGAACCACAGCAACTGGAAGTATTTTGGAAATATGCTTTATAAACAAAAATCGGAATAATTTTCAATGACGTTAACTTTTTCCCCTAATCTGTGACAAAGCTGTCCTACAAACAAAATAAACAAGGTAATGTTTTTAAAGTAAAACTCCTCTAGATTATTTTTAAATCTTGCTTTCCATGGTTCTATGTCTAAAAATAAATATAATCATCCAGCCTCTTTTGCAAATTAGATTTGGAAATAACCACCAAATTCACCAACTGCTCCAAGTCTACTTAAAAATCTAACCTCGACCAGACTGTAGGTGCCCTGTCTTAGGGATGGCAAAAGGGAAGGAAAATGGCCTGTCAGTGAAAGGAAGGCAATTGCTCGTATGGGCATTTTCCTTCAGAAACAAGAAGCTGGTCCAGGAAAAAGCTCATGGGCTGCCGCGCCCCAAGCAGACCGCTGCCATCCACTCCCAGGGAGGAAGATGGCTAAGATGATGACCAGCACGCCCATCACCAGGAAGGGCAGCACCAGCCACTCCTCTACCTACCTGTCTAGAGAACTTTCTAAGGTCAATAGCTATCACTGTTTTATGTTGGTGGGGAAAGGCAGGAGCAGAAAGAGTAAAGGTAGAGAGTGGAGAGGAGAAGGAGGGGAGTGGGAGGAAAAGGGAGGAGGTAGAGGAAGAGGATAATGGAGAAAAACAGTTTATTTTCATCTTAAATGTGAAGGGGAAAAAAATACACATAAAGGAAACGAATGAAGAAAACATGCAAAAGATGAAGCGTGCACCATTTCTTTGAAATGATCATACACAGAGACCAGCAGATGGCATAATAGTTACATCACTAGACTCCCATGTAATCAACCATGGTTCAAGTCCTGGACCTAATGGCTTAAAACTCACGCTGGACACATGTGTGTGTGCACCCAAAATCCCAAGAAGAAAAGGGATTGCAGTGTAGCCAAACACCCTGGGGGGTGACTTTTTTGCTTTCTGTCTCTCCGTCTCTGTCTCTCTAGCAAGTGTACATGCCCTATAGAAAAAAACTTCTCTTAAAAAAAAGAAAAGAAAAGAAAAGAAATGATCACAAACATTTGGGCTGACCCCACAGCCTAGTGATTAAGCCAGATGTCACTTGCTCAACCGTGTTTAAGAGTCCCGACTTTGGAAGCTTGAAAAACACACATTATATCCATATGTGCACGCCAAAATACTGATAAGATTGATAAACAGTGAAGAAGGGACTGCAGAATGACCATGCCCCATTAAGGGCTACTTTCTCCCTTTCTCTGGCAAATGTACATGCCCTCTGGCAATTAAAAAGAAAGAAATTCTCGGGAACCAGCAGTTAGCGTAATGGCTATGTCGCTGGACTCCCACATAGTCGACCGCGGTTCGCGTCCTGGACCCGGTGGCTTAAAACTCACGCCAGGCACGTGTGTGTGTATGCCCAAGATCCCAAGAGGAGAATGGAGGAGAAGGGATTGCAGCATGACCATCCCCCCTGGGGGGTGATTTCTCGCTTTCTGTCTCTATGTCTCTCTCTGTCTGATGAGCGCACGCGCCCTATAGCAAAAAAAAAAAAAAAAAAAAATTCTCAAAGCTTTTACACGAATATTTAAAGAACACTTAGAATATTTTTTTAGAATAATATACTTTATACAAAAAAAGCAATAAAGTGGGCCAGCAGGTGGTATGGTTGTTAAGGCACTGGATTCCCACATGGCTGACCATGGTTTGAGTCCCAGACCTGGTAGAATGTTTTCTCACTTTCTCTCCCCCTCTCTCTGGTAAGAATATGTGCCTTATAGCAAATTTTAAAAATAATAATGATAAGTAAAATTAAATATTTTTAAAGTAATAAAAATTATTAAGGGAATAATTAGCTCTTGAGTACTAAAGAGAATCACCTAAATAGCGGCTATCCTAGAAAAATATTACAGGGATTGGAATTCTTTTCTCAGATACTTATTTTTTCAAATACTTAAAAATTAGATTATTTTTATTTCTGTAAAGAGATATATATTATCAGAATTTTTTTTTAAGGTTTTTGTAGGGCACATATTCTTGCCGGAAAGGGACAGAGAAAGGGAAAGTGAGAAATCCCCCTTCCGGAGGATGGTCATGCCACAATCCCTTCTCCATTCTTCTCCTGGGATTTGGGGCATGCACACACACACACACACACACACACACACACAGAGCATGATTTTCAAGCCACTACGTCCAGGACTCAAACCAAGGCCCACCATTTGGCAGTTCAGCACCTTAATCACTATGCCGCCTGCTGGCCCCCCAAATCTGCTTTTAAAACATTTAAATTTGAAATAAACATAGTACCTGTAGAAATAATAATAATAAGCACTGATTGGTCTTAAAAAGCAAAAGTAATCATTTGACAGTACTACCTACTTTGTAAAAGAAATAACCTTAACACAACACAGAAGGTGAAGAGAAGCTGGCAAGAAAGTCAATCTGTGGGACTGTGTATACAAGAATATTTCAAACTAGTATCTTTTAGAAGTAGTAGATTATTTCAATTTGAACACTGAAATAGGATGAAAGAAAAGAAATAACAGGAAACCTTAAATTGATTAGGAAGTAGTGAATAAATCTGTTTGACCGAGAGTTAACCTTCATGTTAGGAACATCAAGTAAACAAAACAAAAGTGGAACCAGGTCAATGAAAATCCAAGTTCTGACTGGCTATCTTAAATTCATACTAGTCATTTTTTATAGAGTAAATAAAATAAATGTGTACTGTGTAGCTCTCTTAAATGAATTCTTCAGGGAGGAACTAAGAAGTCGGTATCTTTCTTTCACATCTACTTTCCAACTTCCTGTTTGCAGAATGACATCACTGAAAACACAGCACCTTCCCTGCCAGCTCTTCAGTGAGGCTGTGTCATGCTTGTGTCCTGGGATTCTCCACTGTGAGGCTCACGGAAAGTAAAAACAGTTCTCCAGGTCATGAATTTTTGAGGGCTTAGATATTTAAAAACACCTTGCAAGTTAAGAACTATCTTGGAATATTTCCCATGAGCTGAGGAAACCACCACCTGAGGTCAAGAATGTTGTACATGCATGATTTTATGGGATTAAGAACAAATTTTGAGAAAGCTTAAAAGTGACCACAGAAACACTCTTGTTCAAACTTTCCTTAAAGATGAAGAAGTACACAGTAAAAATAATGCCAGTATTTTTATGACCAATTAACCACCAAAACAGGTCTTTCAGCCAAAATCTCTCATCCTGATACCAGCAGATTCCTCCAGTTCGAATTATGGTAATACCATCTTGGACATGAGAGAAGTGTTTCTAATTTTAAAATTAAGTAAAAGCAGATGCCATGGTCCCAATAAACTCTTTGAGCTCCAAGGGAACCACTAGCAACCTGAGTCTGTTTAATTTGGAGATCACGAACGGTAAAAAGGGAAAACCTGACTGCCAAGATTGCACCAAGTTAAACCAGAGAGGCAGAAAATGAAAACAGTTCATGAAAGGGAATGTATTCTAATAACGCTCTCCAACTGACGATGGGCAACCTTTCCCGTGGTTAATAGCTAAAAAAAGGTCCTGCTTATTAAACCCTTAATTCAAATATAGGCAAACGAGCAGTCCTATCTGGAGCATGTCAGATTATTTTATTCACCTTGGTTTATGCTTCGTAAAAATGAGTCTTTGCTACAAAGCTTTAACATGCAGACAGATTGAAATGAATTCATGGCACACCCGAGGGCATTGTTAATATTGATTAATTAAAGTGAGATATCAAATAAATTAGTTCGTAGCAAGGTCATAATGACAGATGAGTTTGATATGCAGGCCCTGAAGCCTGATGAGTTATCTCCACTCCTCCAGAGGCAGCCTGCTTTGGGGTGGGGGGAGACGTGCAGCGTCTTACAGGTGGAGCTAAAGTGACAGCAGCGCCCGATTTAAAAGCGCTTTGTCATTCACATAATGTCTGGGGTAATGAAATGAATTCACTTTCTGGCTTCCTCTAGTCTGCGATGCCAAAGAACACTGTGTTATCAGCACAGATGGAGCATGCATGGTTCTGGAGAAGAGCCTGGTGCGAACTACAAACAAGCCACTGTGAATACCAATGAATCCCTGAGAAGCAGACCCTCGCTGTCAAATGACAGGTTTGGAAGCTCCATAAAAATGAGCAGGTCCCAGTGGTCTTGTCCAACCAAATGTACTGGCACGATTCTGGACAGGTAATTTGGAAGCGACAAGTCATAGAGGCCTGGCTGCTACTTGCCTGTGAGAAGCAAGCCCAGGAAGACATTCACCCATGAGCTGAATTCTCTTTTTCTTCCATTTCTTACTAAATAAGGAGGTGGTAGGTAACCTATGCTGACGCAAACACTAATCCACTTCTCAAAGGCATCGGTCTCTGTTCAGGAGAAACTCAAATAGGCGGTAGAAGAAAAGAATGGGTTTGCAAGTGTGCCACAGCTACGACGAAACATCAAATTACAAAGTCAATGGACATAAACAAACAACACATGGAAAAATGATTAGAAAAGAGGCATACCCATCAACATACTCAGAAGTCTCTGGACCTTTGAACTCACCCCCACAACTCTGTACAATCCTTGGTCATTTATACCTATTGGAAGAAACAGAATGTTAGCAAAATAGAAGACTGATTTTTTTTTTTTTTTTGCTATAGTGTACGTGCACTTGCTGGAGAGACAGGAAACAAGAAACCACACACCCCCAGGGGCGGGAGGAAGGTGCTGGCTATGCTGCAATTCCTTCTCTTCCATTCTCCTCTTGGGACCTTGGGCATGCATATACACATGCTTGGTGTGAGTTTCAAGCTGCCGGGTCTGGGACTAGAACCTCAGTCAACCATATGGGAGTCCAGCAGCTCAACCATCTCACCACCTGCTGGTCCTGAAGACTGACATATTTTAAAAGCCGTCATCAGACAGTTGCATTCCGAATCTTTGCTAACTCACAACATTCCTGTTGACTATAAAAATAACATTTGACAAAAGCAAGTGTTAAGCAACCTGTTTTACCAGCTTTGTATTCGTGAGTTGTGACTGGAAAATAAGCTGCTAAAACAACGTTCCATGTGGACAAAGGGGTAGTGAACCAACACTAACCTGTATCATGATACCCTGAAATGTAAACCAATGCCATTCGTAAAGATGCATTAAAACATTTTTATTAAAAGGTTTTTGTCTTAGGCTATGTGCACTCACCAGAGACAGAAAGACATAGAAAGGGAAATTGAGAAGTCATCCCCAGGGTGGGGTAACAGCCAGGCCACAATTCCTTTTCTTCACGAGATTTTATGCATGCTTGCACACGCGCCCAGAGTGATTTTTCAAGCCTCTGGTCCAGACTCCTACCATGGCCAGCCATGTGGGAATCTAGCACCTTAACCATCAGCCACCTACCAGCCCCAAAACTATTTATGGTTACTTGTTTACATTTTTCTTGACAAGCTTTAAGCCTTGTAAAAATAATATGGTGTAGGCCAGCCAGAGACGTGGTGGTTAAGGCAAATGGATCCCACATGATTGACAGTGTGGTTTAAGTCCCAGACCTGGTGGCTTGAAAAACACCCAGGTGCGTGTGTGTACATGTCCAAAATCCGAGAGGAGAAACAGAGTAGAAGGGACCACAGTGTGGTCATGTTCCCGGGGGGGGCGGGGGGGGGGGAGGAAGCTCTCACTTTTTCTCTAGTGGACACATGTGCTCTGTAATAAATTTTAAAATAATAATAATGATGATACTACGGTGAAGAGAAGCACACAGAAAAAAGTCATCATTTGGATGACTCTTGAGGACTACAGAAATTTTATTCAAAAACTAAAGCAGAACTGAATTATCTAAAAAAGAGTTGTTGTATGGATGGGCCAGTAAGGAGCTCTGAAAGTCCCAGTATCACCACAAACCGTACAGCAAAACGAACCAAATCACCGCATCCTCTCTCTGTGTCCGAGTCCAACAGACAAATAATGGCAAGAAAATTCACTGTCAAATGTAACTTAGGATGCTGAGCAAATGTCCTTATTTGGATTCTGTTGTGAATAAACCGACTGTAAAAGACTATTTTTGAAGCAAAAAGGAAACAATGAAGTGGCGTTAAAATTATGTTAAGAAAATGCCCGTTTTTCACTAATTCCCTTATGAGGGGAAGGTAACCCATCTCAGATTGGATCCAGGAGAGAGACAGGGATGGTAGGGTAGAGCAGCTGTGGAAAATCACCATACCGATCGCTCTACTTTTTATGCTTAAAAATGTTCACAATAAGTAACTTCCAAAAACGGTTATCGTTACCCTTACCGCTCAAAGAGTTGCGGCTTTCTGGCTGTGTGTTTATTTTCTGTACTACGAATGTTAACGCTAACAAGAACACAACTGGCTGACAGGAGATGATGCCTCTAATCCCCAAAGTTTCCATAACAAAATAACACAACAACAAAAAGGCCATGGAATTTGCTCAAGGGGTTTACTTTCTTTTCACCTCCCTGCTTGGTGAGATGAAAATAATCCTAGACAGTCTACAGAAATGGATTCCAGTCACAGTTCAGTCACTCACGACCAAGACAGGAAACCTCTGTGACCCTCGATGTGGCATCTGAGTGGAGGAAGGCATCCATGCCCCGGATTATGCTCAGAAGGAAATGTGATGGTCCCAACGTGAGTTCTGTATAACCAATGCACACGCAAAAACTTTCAGCATTCCTTGTCAAGATCAGTATCTCTTTTTCTTCTTTTTTCCCTGTATTTACTGCTCCTTATTCTTTTCTTTGAAGTTTTACAAATGTCCTATTTTCAGCTACATTTTGTTATGAGCTAAATTTTACCCCTCCCCCATAAAAAGTCCTATTTTGAAGTCTTAATCCCCAGGATCTCAAAATGTAACTATATTTAGAGATAAAGTGTTTAAATGAGGTTATTAATTTAGAATTAGGCCATCAGGGTAGGTCGTCATCCAAAATGACTGGTGTCCTTACATAATAGGGTGACTGGAGACAGACAGGGACAGCGGGAAGACCATGTGAAGACACAGAAAGAAAATGGCCACCTAACAAGCCAAGTTGAGTGGCCTCTCATCAACTCTGGAGCCAGCAGGTGGTGGCGTGGTAGTGAAGGGCACTGGACTCCCACATGGCTGACCTTGGTTCAAGTCCTGGACCTGGTGGCTTGTTTGCTCACTCTCTCTCTCTCTCACACACACAAACATACACACATGCCCTAAAGCAAAATTTTTTAATAATAATAATTATAAATTAAATAACTAAGTCTTTAAAAAAAGAAAAAAGAAACCAACTCTGCCACCAGCTTCCCAAAGTAGGAGAAAATTAACTTCCGCTGTTGAAATCACCCAGTCTTGGTTTGTACTCTGTTAGGCCAACCCCAGCACACTAATCCACCTCCCCCATCCATTATCTCAATAGAGCTCAAAAGTCAAAAGAGCAAACTGTCAGGCTTCAGTCCACACGAGGCTGCTGAGAACACCACGGAGTCAGGGCAATACAGACAGGGCTCTGGATGTGGAACCCTCACCCTCACCCTCACCCACGACGAGACGGATGGAAGGGTCAGTGCAACCCTGCCAAGAGCTGGAAAAAGAAAATTGTCGAGAAACACAGAAACCAGAGACCTTTTGAGCCCACTCTAAAAGGAAAGGTTGAGTCTTGCTCCTTCCTTCTCCTAGAAGCCGGAAGGGCCCATGCACACAATGTAAAACACCAGGGGGTTTTCCTCAGCACTACTCTAACTGAGAAACCTAACACAGTTTGACCTCAGTGCCAGAAGCCAAAAGAGCAAGTCATCCCCTGCAGACAAACAAGTGCCCTCCATGAAAAGCGCCCGAATTACATGGAAAAATGAAGCAAGAGCGTACCTTCAGCAATAATCATCACTCTGTGCTGGCAATTACTATCAGATAATTGATCAAGTTCGAATTCATCAACCTGAGAGAAGCAGAGTTAATTGCTCATGCATAATGAACAGTGCTAGGGGGAACTAAAGCCACTCAACACCGTCTTTACCTTTTAAAATACAATTTAAATAAACCTCATACAAAAGCAACTTGGAAAGAGCCACGTGTAATGCACACACTCAAGTCTTACAGAATTCGGTCTGTTACACTGGACAGAGACCATGCGAGGGAAAGTGAGAAATCACCACCCGGGGGGATGGCCACACCACAATCTCATCTCCTCCAGTCTCCTCCTAAGATCTTGGGCCTCCACACACACCCACACACACACCCACAGTGATTGTCAAACTACCGGGTCCAGGACCCAAACTGCCATCGGCCATGTGGGAGTCCAGGGATATAACAACTACACCATTTGCTGGCCCTGTTATGCTGTTCTTAAAGGTCCTGGACTAACAAAATGAGAGAAATGGAGCATACTTTGTATCTGTGAAGACACATGTTCACACAAAAGATATCAACTACATTTTAAAAACATAGAACCACCAATACACCAAGTCATATTAGTGGGCTTACCACTTCCTTTCCAAATTCTCTTCCCAATTTCTCTCTTTCAACCAAAGAATTACTGTTTCTTTCTCTGTCTGTCTCTCTCTCTTAAGAGAGATTTTTGCTATAGGACATGTGTGCTTGCTGGAAAGAGAGAGAGACAGAAAGTGAGAAATCACCTGCAGAAAGGATGGCCACATCACAATCCCTTCTCTTCCATTCTCTTCTCAGAATCTTGGGCACACATGCACACACACATAGCATGAGTTTTCAGCACCTGGGTCCAGGACTCGACCGCAGTTGAGCATGTAGGAGTCCAGCAATGTAACCATTACACCACCTGCTGGCCCCAAGAATTACTATTTCTAATCATTACATATTTCAACTTTGAAATTATCTAACTTCTTCTCTATCAGTTTCCAAATTCAATCGGTTAATGTCCACCTTGTTCAAACTTTAGACTAATCTACTTCTTCAATACTGTTTTGAGTTTTATATCCATATATTAAGGAATCCCTGCAAAGATGCACACACAACTAGAACTCAATCTCACAACTAACTTCTTTTTTGTCTACCTTTTTATTTTTCAAACCACTTCTATTACCCTAGGTCCTCTCCATCCTCATTTAAGAGTAGCCATTAGACCAAGCCTTAACAAGTATGTCAGGCATAAACACATAAGCATCACTGATAATCACCCCTAAGTACCAAGGCTCCTTCATTGCATCCTCTCTGCCCATGTCCAGGCTGAACTTCCTGCCAGGAATGAACCATCTATGGACCGGGTGAGACGCAGGTGAGAGGCATGGAGGTCAGGCGGTTGGATTCCACACGGCCGACTGTGGGATTCAAGTCCCAACCCAGTTGCTTGAAAAACACACCATGCGCTTGTGCATGTGTGCCCGAAATTCCAAGACGGAGAATGGAAGGGAAGGGACTGGACATGGCCATTCTTCCTGGATGGGTGCTTCCTCACTTTCCCTGTCTCTCTCCATTCATCTAAGGTAAGCGCACATACCGTACAATAAACTTATACACAGATATATTAACACAAATATATTTTATATATAATACATATGACTATATTGTGTATATATAATATATATACAATATACACAATTATACATGTGATACAATTATATGTATTTAA